TTGAAGTTCCAAAGAAGATAATTCTCGATCGCCTCATGTTTTTGATATAACAATCAACAAAAGTCAAGGTCAAACATTGTCATTTGTGGGATTATTTTTAACCAAGTCAGTGTTCACACATGGTCAACTATATTTTGTTGTTTCACGAGTGAAGACAAAGACCGGATTAAAAATATTAGTTCCAGATGACAATAGAAACTCTTGCAATCATACTAAAAATGTTGTATACCCCGGAATCTTTCAGAAAATATGGTATTAAAATAAACATTGTTAACTCTACATTCTGTTCCTCAAATATTATTTATTTTACTTTGGCTTTTTTCATTTGTAGTATTAAAAATCATGTGAGCAATATATTTACTTTATTCTGAAAAATAAATTTCAGTAAAATAAATTCAGAATCGACATAAATTTCTTTCGACCCCGTGCATGGCACAGGTCAAAATACTAGTTCTTACTTAAAATTAACTAATTTTTGTTTTATTTTGAAATATTTGGGATTGGTGTCAGATTTCTGCTGAGGTAACTCCATCTGTGGAGGGTCAATCGTTCCTAGATGCTTCGGAAATTGAGGTGCATTGCATGTACACTAAAATATAACATTTAAAGTATTTTGTTTGTTTTTTGAAACATTCGGAAACAGAACAAGTTATTCGACCATGGAAATAATCAATATAATGTTACAGTAATTGGTTGCAGTCGAATGCAGTCGAATCTATTTTTTGATTAGTTCTTGATTTTAATTCTAGGTTCCAGTGTTGGCTTGCACCATTGATATTGATAAAATACCTGGAATGAAGTTAACCCTGAAATCTTCTTTGGGGGAGTTCCAGAATCTGATGGGCGAAGGACTTGGAGATCATCTAGAAGTTCTTGATTTGTTTAGGGAGAGCACCCCTTTTTCTCATTTTTTGGATGTTAAGTGTATTCCTCCTCCTCTGTTCCTATGGCAACTCATTGCGAGGGAAGCCAAAATAAAGAGGAAAGGAGAGATGTGGTTCGTTTTCAAAGGAGTTCCTGTCAGGTACTCCTTGAGGGAGTTTTCACTCATTAGCGGCCTCAACTGCTCTCACCTTAACGCCGGCTTTGAAAATTCTAAGGAATTAACCTCTGCAAAGAATGATTTCATTCGTGCTCACTTTCCTTCAGCANTGAAGTTCCAAAGAAGATAATTCTTGATCGCCTCATGTTTTTGATATAACAATCAACAAAAGTCAAGGTCAAACATTGTCATTTGTGGGATTATTTTTAACCAAGTCAGTGTTCACACATGGTCAACTATATTTTGTTGTTTCACGAGTGAAGACAAAGACCGGATTAAAAATATTAGTTCCAGATGACAATAGAAACTCTTGCAATCATACTAAAAATGTTGTATACCCTGGAATCTTTCAGAAAATATGGTATTAAAATAAACATTGTTAACTCTACATTCAGTTCCTCAATGTAAATAAACATTGTTAACTCTACATTCTGTTCCTCAAATGTTTGGGAATCCCAAACCACAAAATAGTCTTGAAAAAAGGGGTACCGATTATGCTATTGAGGAACATTGACCAAACATCTGGATTGTATAATGGGACAAGATTAATCGTTCAAGAGCTGCGAAATAATGTTATCGGTGCAATTATGGTTTTGGGAAATCGAGTCGGGGAAAAAGTTTACATCCCTAGAATGAATTTGGTACTATCTGATCTAGGGCTACCTTTGAAGTTCCAAAGAAGATAATTCTCGATCGCCTCATGTTTTTGATATAACAATCAACAAAAGTCAAGGTCAAACATTGTCATTTGTGGGATTATTTTTAACCAAGTCAGTGTTCACACATGGTCAACTATATTTTGTTGTTTCACGAGTGAAGACAAAGACCGGATTAAAAATATTAGTTCCAGATGACAATAGAAACTCTTGCAATCATACTAAAAATGTTGTATACCCCGGAATCTTTCAGAAAATATGGTATTAAAATAAACATTGTTAACTCTACATTCTGTTCCTCAAATATTATTTATTTTACTTTGGCTTTTTTCATTTGTAGTATTAAAAATCATGTGAGCAATATATTTACTTTATTCTGAAAAATAAATTTCAGTAAAATAAATTCAGAATCGACATAAATTTCTTTCGACCCCGTGCATGGCACAGGTCAAAATACTAGTTCTTACTTAAAATTAACTAATTTTTGTTTTATTTTGAAATATTTGGGATTGGTGTCAGATTTCTGCTGAGGTAACTCCATCTGTGGAGGGTCAATCGTTCCTAGATGCTTCGGAAATTGAGGTGCATTGCATGTACACTAAAATATAACATTTAAAGTATTTTGTTTGTTTTTTGAAACATTCGGAAACAGAACAAGTTATTCGACCATGGAAATAATCAATATAATGTTACAGTAATTGGTTGCAGTCGAATGCAGTCGAATCTATTTTTTGATTAGTTCTTGATTTTAATTCTAGGTTCCAGTGTTGGCTTGCACC